TAAATTTTCAAAATTTCAATATCAGATCTAAATTGAAAGCTCAGAAATCTCATGGAATTTTAAATTTATTGTTGCAATTTTTGCTTGACACTGTTCATGTTAACATGTTGATATTTTACGGATGTTACAAAACATTATTACTGTCGTTCACCAAATTACACATACACTTCAACTAAATACATATGTATGTATAAATGTATGAATATGTTGACACAAACACTATGCAACTTACACGTACAAATATCTGCATGTACACACACACACACGCTCACACATGTCCTGACGAACATTCATAATACCGGAAATGCATACAACATTCAAATTTCCCGCTGATATCCCATTTTAATATGCATCAAATCCAAAAACAGCCTAAAGAATACATAAATTGTACATTTCTACAACTGCGAGGCATAACTTAAATGTTTGTGCAGCGTGGAACGACGACTGCTGATGGATGATATACATTTATGTTTTCTAGATGGCGGTAGATAAGTAAATGATAAACTTTGTAGAAATATTTGTATAGACTTGCATATGCATACAAAATTGCATATTTGTGTAATGATAGTTTGTGCAGGAATCTGTTATTGTGCAATTATTTGTGAATTCTTAAAATTACAAAAATTTCGTTATACCTCAAGACATTTATTCGTATTTTTTAGCATTTTCTTGCGCTGAGTAATTCTAGGACAAGTTTTATTTAGTTTGGAAAAAGAAAATCGCACAAACAGGTGGCACATGCAGTTAAATATTTATGAAGTATGTGTTAGTGCCAATACTAGTGTAACTGTTGAATTGTGTATGGTTGCTATGACATCAACTTAAATCCATTTATAGATAAACATATACATTTACGCTTAAGCACACATACAGACGTACATACATATGTATATTATATTTAATGATACATAATGTATTTTTTAACACTCATACATGAATACACACATTAAGGTTAAACATATGTATATGTGTGTTTTATTTGTATATGTGAACACTGAAAAAAACATACATATACAAATTTCTGAATGTCAAAAATGCATCACAATGTACTGTAGGCCAACTTTGTTTGGTTTCAAAATTGTGAATAAATTTGGCTTATTTTGTTTCTTCTATGCCTCCTACGTATCCCCTACTTTACAACATTACAAAGTAAAAGTTTATAATGTTGTAAAAGTAGGGCGCAAATTTTGCAGAAATATTTCAAAACTCAATCCCACTGTACTTTAAGTGAAAATATATAAATAAATGTTTCTCGCATCATTATATTTTTGCGTGTTTTATACAATTTTTTGCACTTTTAAGTTTTGTTCTTCTTTTTACTGCAACAAATATAAACCAGGTGAAAATTAAATTCAGTTTTTCTTTTGCAGTGAAGCGCTGCAGATAAAATTATAAAAAAGTGGCGAACTGTTTTTAGGTAAAAAATAAAAATATTTTACTTTTCCATTAAAAAAAAACAAATTTAATTTACAATTTTTAACTCAACGAATACTTGAAATGAAAAGGTCAACATTTTTTTCGTTCTATATTTTTACTCTCGTTAAGATGTGTTTATAATTTGAAATAAAATATTTTCCATTTAATTTGGTTGCTTTTCCCTGTGTCCTTCACAAAAGCATTAAAATTAACACAAACAACAACTTTGGGTCACAATTTTTTTAAAAATCCTTTTTTTCCTTTTTAATGGGATGTATCAGTGTCTGTTGGTGTGTTGTTGTTTGTATATTACAACATTTAAGTTAATTAAATTCCTGCATAATAATTTTTTTGCAATGTTGTTATTAGTGTTGTTGTAGTTGTACACTTTAGCTCATTGTATTTAGGTTGTCAATAATAAACAAATGTTGTTGACCAAACATTTTTGCCAACCACAGAAATAAACAACAACATTACAAAATATTTATAAACTGGTTAAAGAAATAATTTATTAAAATGGTTAAATAAATGCAAATGTTAAATAATTATAATTAGAAAAATGTTCAAGAAAAAAAGATTGTATAATGATTTATTTTTTTAAGTTTCGCTTATTTCCAAGGGTATGTTTTCTTTCTGTGTGTTCTTTGTGTCCTAAAACGAGATAATTAGGTTGACAAGTGTATTCTCATTAAAAAAAAATTAACATTTAGTATTTAATTTAATATTTATTTAAGGCTTTTTGTGCATATTTAAAACAATTCAGCAAAAACAAAAAATAGAATTTAGTTTAATAGCTTGGTAATTAAAAAGAAAATATTTTAGAAAAGCATTTGCAAAATTTTTTTTATATAAAAAAATTTTAAGGACCTTTATTAAGTTGGCAATTACACATATTAATTAAAAATTCTGTTCAAACAGTTATAATCTCATATTTTTCTAGTTGTTTTAACAATGTTATCCTGAGTTTGCTAGTTGCTTTATAAATGTGTAGTATGTTGGACTGTAAGATATTTAACACAGATATAACCTGAAGTAACCATTTCTTGATTTATCAAACATCCCTCGTATAATGGATAAAAACCCGCAATAGTTAAACTCTTTGAGCATAAATTCTAATCTAAACTTCAAGGACTTTATATATATTTTTTAATTCTATGAAGAGCAAACAACCTCACATTGAATACAGTAAATAAATAACTAAATACTTGTGTATAAGTACACACTCCATATTTTTAGCATGTTTTGTAAATAACTAATGTAATCTGAATTAGACATGATCATAAAATATTGTTTTATGAATCGTTAATTATAGGAAATTTTAAAGAAAGGCCAAAGTGGAATATAAAAGTTGTTCCATTTCATCAAATTATATATTTTAAAATTACGAACTTTATTCCAAATCAGGGAAAATTGAGTAATGTCATGACTAGAACATAAAGTAAACCATATACGAGATAATAGGCCAGTCCATAGACTCGTAAATAAACTGATCAATAGACTCGTCTAGATATAATAAACTAGTCCAGAAACTTGTCCAGAGACTTGTCCATAGAGTAGTACATAGACTACTCAATAAACTAGTCCAAAGACTAGTTCATATACTTGTCCAAATAATAGTCCATAGACTAATCATTAGATAATCCATAAACTATTCAATAGATTAGTCTATAGACAAGTCATATACTAGTCCATGGTCTTATCTATAGACTAGTTCATAGACACATACTACAGACTTGTTCATAGACTAATATATAGACAAGTCAACAGACTAAACTAGCTCACAATCCAGTCCATAGGCATGTCAATAGACAAGTTCATAGACTAGTTCATAGACTTGTCCAACAAAAGGGAGACTTTATGTAAAATTTCGTGATCCCATCTAATAAACACATAAATATGTATGTGTGTACTTATTAAATATATCTTTTATATGTGGAAAAGTTTTTCAAAAGTACCACATTGTAAATAGTTACTTGCTAATATTACTTATTAAAACACCAAAACTTTATTTTACGTAAGTATGTAAGTATGTATTTGTGTATGATTGTGGTAGTAAATTTTAGTTATTCTTTAACAAGGTCTGACTGTGTATGTGTACTTTATAACTATTTTGTAAAATATAAAAAAAAAACTATTTTTATGTGTATTTATCTCTTTTGTAGTTGCCAAATTTCTTAACAGATTTAAAAACATAAAGCATATAATTACAAAGAATGTTATAAAATATAATAAGAATAGATATTTAAAAATAATTACAAAACTTAAATCAATAAATTGGCAATTAACATAAATTATTTGTGAATTGAATAATTTAACTGTGGGAGATATAAAATGACTTATTTTAAAAAGCTAACAAATATGTAAGGTGGTTATAAATATTTCTATAAATTGTACTTTTTGTACAGTTTCAACTTTGCAAATCTAAACTAACATTATTTGCACTTTAATTCGCTGTGTTAAGAGATCCTACTTCACAATTGTAAAACCTCTTATAAACGAAATTGCTTTTCAAAATTTGTATCTTCTATCCATATGAAAGTTGTACGCGAAATGACAACTCCATTTGTACACTCATCATCCATGTTGATGGCTTTAACAAGATGACTTAAAACACAAATAAATGCAATTTTCTCTACGAATACATACGCATTATTTGGAGTAGTGTATTTTTTCAAGATATTTCAGCTTATCAGGATTTTTTAGAGAAAAAAAACGGGACAAAATAAATGGTGGTCCGTCCATGGTGTTGTATAAATGTGTACACAAACAATTTAAGTGCTACTGATGCGGTTTACAATATTTGCTGGTCTTTTGATTCCAGAGTGTGTTAGAGTTTAGACAACCAGTAGCACAAAATACAATTCCCTATTTTTTTTTTGTCAAATCACTCAATTACATTTTGGCAGTAAAACCACACATTTGCTGACAATTGTAACAGCGATGACTACCACCATTATTACAACAGTTTTGTGCACTGAAAAAAAAAAAACACATTACGTGTCGAAGTGAATATAACTTTTTTAAATTTACATTGAGCTTTTGTAAAAGAATACACTCTTACAGAAAACCAATATGAAAAACGTAGATAGCTTCTTCGGAATAAATGCTTTATTTTGTATTGATGAAGCTAAAGAGCTTTTTAAAACATTTTGGAAAATTTTTAATTTAAAACGATTTCAAAAACTAATAATCATAAAAGCTTTAAATTTGTTTAATAAAAACTTTTTTTATAAAATATTTTTATAGTATTTCTATAGTAGTTTCTCAAAGTTGTTTCTTACAAGAAATTGTTAAATGCATTAAATAAATCTAAATCTGGAAATAGAACAAGATGTATTTTATTAAAAAAAATCTTATATAATAAAGGCTGATTTCAACAGTTTCGTCAATGTTATCCAAAATTAACACTCCCCTTTCTTCGAGTGCATCAAACTTAAATCAAATAAATAGAAAAGCGAATTTTAAGCAGAGATATTACAATCCTGACCACTATATAGCATTTGTGCTACAGTGCAAATGGATTTCTCTTTTATCCTTCCTTGATTTATGTCAAAAGATACAAACGAACAAATAAGCAGGCAAACAACACACTAAGACCATTTGGCAAATGGCAGTCGAAGTATGTGTAAGTGCAACATGATTTTTAACACTTTCAATTTGTTAGACAAATAATAATGATGAGCATTAGTTGCTGGCCACCATATAGTACAAGTACATACTCACTATTCATAATGTGATTTGTTTGGACTTCTTTTTTTGTTCATTTTACTTTAAATCTAATCTAAGTTTTCTCTTTAATCATAATTACATTTACAAAATTTTGTTTAGATGGTTGGAGTAACGTATGAGTAATAAAAATTTATTATTTATGTATTTGTTTTACGTATAATATAACTCATACGCCAACGTATGCAAACACTAGCTTTTATCGTCTCATACTCTTGAATTTGTTTATAAACACTTTTGACACATACACATGAACATACAGTTATTTAGGTTTTTAGTAGTATTTGTATTTGTATGAAGTATTTGCTTTTGATGTTGTTGACGTTGCCTGTTATTTGTATTAGTAAATTTTGTTTACAACTTTGTGCTTAATACTTCATAAATATTAATGACACTTTGGTAGTCTCGCACTACTCCGTTACTGCTATCAAACAAATAACCGGCCAAATCACAAATGACACATACACACAGTTACAAATGCACACACATACAAACATTTGTATTTTAATATACATTGGCGAAGGTGGTTGAATATACATGCATACGGACAAACAGGTTAGATAAACATTTGTTAGTCAGACGGACATTTTACATAATAACAGTTACACCTTTAATATTATTGTGATGGCTCTGGATCGTCTACCAATGCCAAAACGTACACACAAATAACAACGACAACAGCAATACTTAGATAAAATTCATACCTTTTCGTTAATATGTTTGTCCGTTTGTTTAGTCATATAAAACTCTCATCGCCCATCATTGTCATCAGCAGCAGCGTCATCATTATCATCATCTTCCTGATTATTATGTACATTATTAAAGCACTCAAACATACAAACCACATGCTACACATAAACATACTTATATGTGCACACACACATCTATACAATCTCCTTCTCATATATACTTACATATGTATGTATGAAGATTCAAACAGATTGAAACAAGTTAAAAGTGAACTTTTAATGAAATTTTAGGTTGTGTAATTTTCGTTCTATTCGTTGTTGTTCCTGATGATGTCTCCTAATTACCTCAGACAATATGACGTCGTCGACAATATGTGACCAACAAAAATTATTCCATATATATTTTTAGGGTTTCAAGAACACACACAAAAACTCTCAAACCCATAAAACTTGAAGTTTTTATTGTTGTTGGTTTAAGTAATTTGAGATTTTTGTTCTTGGAGAAAAAACAGAACAGAAAAAAAATGAAGAAGAATTAACTTTTAAATTAGTAGGTATTATTTGTTTAATGAAGTTACATACACTTGTGGCAGATGAACACAGTTTCTAAAACAATGTTAAATAATTTAATGACATTAATGTTATATTAAGTCTTCAGTGATATTAAGAAAATTTTGTAATTTTTTGGTAATTAAATTAAAGACTTAGAAAAAAATTAACTTTATGATAGGTAATGAGGGTGTTGCAGAAGATGGAGCTTTTTTTAAACTTGACAGTTTGCTAACTAATTAAAATATATGTACGTATGTATGTATGTATGTATTGTATTTAAACAAAAATTGTATACCCATCAAAAAAAGAAAAGATTTAAGCTAAAGTTGATCCCAGCCCCCATATAACCCCTTTCAAAAAATAAACTTTTTTTGTGTGTTTTGACTTTAACTGCTTGTAGGGTGTAAAAAACATAAATTGACATTAATCATTTGTAAATTATAAAATTATCGATTTCATTAACAAAAAAAAAATATTATACATTTTTTCAATTTTGGTCTCATTTCAGTAATATTTTTGTGTAAATTTTACAATTACAAGAAAATGGTAACAGATGTAGCAAATATTCAGCAATTGACTGGAAAACAATGCCGTGAATTATTGTTTATGCGTTCCAAAAAGGTAAATTATTCGAAAATTCAATTAAAGTTAAAAATACCTATACAAAAAGCCCCTTTTTAGCCCAAACGTATTGTGCCAGCCTTTACATATCAAGCTTTACAAGACAACACCATGGTGGAGCCGCCCAAAAAGTATACATATTTTCAAACAATTATTTACAAATTTATATTTATTTATGAAAATTAAATCATTACTTTTTAGAATAGAATTATTTAAAAAACGTCCTGCAAAGGATACCTTCTTCAAGATCTACTGGAAACGTGGAGACATACCGGTGACCTTTTCGGGTAAACTGTTGCCCAAGAAAAATACCAAAGAATTTCCTCTGAAATGGTATTGTCCGCCTCAAAATTTAGACTATTGTTATTATTTACCCATATTTGTAGATGGGTAAGTCAAATAAAACTTGGTTACAAAAGAGCCTTAAATTTTAATTTGTTTAAAATTTAAACAGTTTATCCGACAATGATGTAGAAATTCGTAAATTGGCTCAATATGGTGCTATGGACTTAATATTAAAAGCTCCTCAAAAAGTACTGCCCGTACTGCCCAAACTAATATTACCTTTAAAAAGAGCTTTTAATACAAGAGACAAGAAAATCATAATTGGTGCTTTAAAAGTTCTACAATTAATGGTTTTAGTAGGTGGGTAGAAATACTGGATAATAAAATAATATAAAAATAATTTCAATTGTTTTTTCTTTCCATTTTAACTAGGACCCTGTGTAGGTCAAGCTTTGGTGCCCTATTATCGTCAGCTATTGGCCGTTTGTAATTTGTACAAAAATATTAATGTTAATCTGGGTAATTTTATAGATCCCGATCGTGATTGTCGCATAGGAGATGTTATCGAGGATACTTTAAATATTTTAGAACATTGTGGTGGTCCAAATGCATTTATTAATATTAAATATATGGTACCGACCTACGAAAGCAGTGTCTATCCACGTTGTGAAAATCCTGCAGAAAAGTCTGCACATGAGGAGGCTAAAAAGGTTTAAGAAGAATTTTATGGATTTTGCAATATCTAGATGTTTTCAATTTAAAAATTTCTTTATTGTTGTAGTAGGTATGTGTTAAAATCCTTGATTCTAAATAAAACCATAATTTCTAAAAATAACCAAGTGTATTGTGTGTTCGAAGTTTTATTTTAGATTATAGCCTATTATACTCATCAGTCTATGGACTAGTTTAGGAACCGCTCAATGAATACTAATAACTAATTCTAATGACTTTTTAATTAGTCTATGGACTAATTAATTAGTCTATGGACTAATCTATGAACTTTCTAATTATATATATTAGAACTATATAATATATATTATAAGTTTCAGACTATTCTAGTAAGTAGTTTTTAAACAACTCTAGGAACAAGCCGAGGGACTAGTCTATTTATACCCTACGCCACTTATAGTGGGAAGGGTATTATGCGTGCTGATGTTTGATGTTTGACTCATTAAAATATTAGGACTATACCCACCTTAAAGTATACCGATTGACCCAGAATCACATTCTGAGTCGACTTAACGATGTCCGTCCGACCGACCGTCCGTGTGTCCATGTAAACGTTGTTATCAAAGTACAGGTCGCAATTTTCAAGATAATTTGATGAAGTTAGGATTACACGTTTCTTTTGACCCAAGGACGAAGCCTATTAAAATCGGTCCATTATTTCACCGATTGACCCCATACAACCGAACCCCCCTAAAAGGGCCTTTGAGCTCATAATTATGTATAATATAAATGTATCTCGATAAAAGTTCGCACAACTAAGTTTTATACAAGCCTTGATGACCTTGCCGAATTTCGAAATGATCGGACCTCATTTGACCCTAGTCCCCATACAAAGCCCCCTTCGGAAAGTGACTTGAATATCCGCAATTCACTTATTAAGACTATTATTGCATTGATATTAAACACAGACAAATATTATATAAATAAAAATCTATCCATCCCATTTTATTGGGATCGGTCCACATTTGCTCCTATCCCCCGTATAAAGCCTCTTTCAGAAAATTAGTTTTTCGTCAATAAATTGCTTAAATAAATCGGAATCAGGTACATATTATTCAAGATAAATGCTTCATTATGAAATATAAATCACATTTAATATTCATAACTGGTGTAGGGTATCATATGGTCGGCCACGCCCGACTATACTTTCTTACTTGTCTATTAATTATAATATGGAAAATATATTGACACGGCTATTGACTAATATATTGGCATGTTTATAACACCAATTCCAACTTCGTTAATTTTTGTTATGATCTTCCAAATAAAACATTTCTTAACCACCAGCACTTTAAGCATTTATATTATTTTAATACTGATTACAAAATCATACATACCTACCTTCTCAATCCCGACATAAATTTGATTCCAAACATTCATTTGCTTCAATTTGTTTTTGTTTATACATATTTGTTTATTGCAAAAGCAGCGACAAAAACAAAAGAAAGAAACATACACTAAAGAAGAATAAGAGGAAGCTTATGATTTACGTTTAATTTTTACGAGATTAATAACATGCCATTTTGCAACTTTCTTTTCTTAATATAAAAACAAATAGAAATTTAAACATTTATTTCTCTTTTAACATTTGTTGCATTTTACTTTAAAAAATTATAAAACACTTTCTCATACACTTGAGATCTTTCACACTTTAATTAAACACTTGCATTTCTTTTGACACAATACGACTGTCACAAGGAGACCAATTACTTGAATGGCCTTTTCAACGAATTTACAAATTATTAATTATTTAGAAAACACTTGCCACATAAGTAGCACTTATCTAATTACAGGTTTATTACCTTTTTAACGAATTTTAATGATTCTTTCACACAAAAAATTAAGAAAAACAATCAACGTATTGATTTTACTTCCGTTCCCGCTAATTTCTAATAAGATACTGAGCCACAAACAGTATGACCAACTGTTAGTCTAATAAAAAACGCTTGTTAAAAAAACGTCAAAAGACAACAATTGTTTGTTTCTATTACAAATTTGCAGTGTTTGGCTAAATTTTAAAGCAACAAATCGCGCGAGATATCTGTCTTTTACAAATAGCTGGTTTCGGAATTTTGAAAATTGCAATCCCAGGATCTCGAAAAATTTACAAAAAAAAAAAAATTGAAAACATAATTTTTAATTAAATGTGCTGGGAATTGGCAACGTACATGAAATGAAAGCCCATTATGTTTTTCTCTTCGATTTTATGATATATGGTATGTTTTATTAAAAATTATAGATAAAATCTTAAATTAATAAACAAAATAAAACCCAGACAGTAATAAACATAAAAATCAAAATGAATTTTAAATTTGTTAAGTTTTTGTATAAAATTTAACTTAATTTGGTATTATTTCGTTCTATTATTTGGTACATCACTGCATATTCGATTTGGTACTCAATTGGTTATGTTATACATGGTTTCAAATCTTTCCGAAACCGCTTTCGTATGATATATAAAGAATAAAATTTTTATATAAAAGAAATAAATAATAAATATATATTTTAGATATATGGTATGGTTATATTATAAATCCTTAAATGTCTGTAACTCCAGACAGAAAAAAGTTTTACACAAACAAATTTAAAATTAAATATATTACACCTGGTTAAAATACTTTAGAAATCGTAAACAATATATTCTTATTATTTCAAATATTTCAATTTTAATTTTCAATGCGAATTGTAATAGAAGATTAATACCTACTACTTTTCACATGCAACTCTGTGCTTAAAAACAATGACATTTGTTTTTTCTAAAAAAAATCTAACTGTAAATTATCACTTTTTTCTTCATTCTTTTACTTCGCGCCACAGGCATCAGCTGTTCAGAAAAAATATTCTTGATCGAAGTGAAAAAAGTAAATTTTGCGATTTTCTTAAATTTATATAAATTAATTAAATTTGTGCTAAAAGAACTTTTGTTTTTGCAATAATAAATGTGATTCGTGTGCATGTAAATGTAAACATTTTTGTCTTCATAAAAGAAAATTGCAAACCACAATGTGGCCATGTTAAGATACCCATAGTAGTAAGTATAAAGGCAACTTCAATGAATTGCAAATCTATCGTAAAAGTAGTAAAATTCATTATAAATTGTAATGGGAGGGAATTCTATGAATTGGAATCGCCGTAAGGAATACTCATATAAATATGCCTTGTTATTCCAGCACTTTTGCCCAACATTCCCTGTAATCAGTTAACCTATTTTCTTTTGTCACTTGTTTTTTTTTTTTTCAATTTTCTGTTTCATTCATTGTATTTTTTTTATTTACAGACAATTGACATTTCCAGTTCTTTAGCCGCACAACAAGATCGCAAACCTCATAACCTTAAAAACAAGAAACACTTGCTTAAAAGCGTTAAATAAAACAAAAATCTGCCATAAAAAAGAGAAATCCGTATTCTGAGAAAAACATTCCGTTGAATATCCTACGCTTGAAAAACAGTTATTCTTGCAAGCAAAAATGTTTCATTTAGTAATTATTTAACAATAAAAGGGTTTTCCACTGCCCTTGACACCTCGAACTCGAACAGCTAGTAAAGCACGTCCAAGAATTTTGTATATTTTTGTAAATTTTTTAATCGTTTAAACCCAGTGATTGTTTATTTTATATTTGTATTTATTTTAATTTATTATAATTTATTATTTCGCGTTGCGTTTTATGTTTTTAATTATAATCCTAAAAAAACTAATTCTGTGTCGTTAGTCGTGTGTACGTTTATAAGTAAAATTTTTTTTTGTCGCGTAGTGTGTCAGTTTATTTGTGTTCGCTTAGCAAATACTATGGAATCGGCAGCGTTAACTCCTTCTTCAAGCATACATGTTCCCAAACCAGAAGTATGGAAATCGCTTAAACGCATCTCGGAACGTTATTTGGAACCAGATGAATCTTCCTTGTCTGGCGAAGGTGAAGAGTTTATGCTTGACAATGCTCAAACGAAACGTTTTAAAAGTTTGGGTAATTCTGCCCTAGACGATTCTTGCTTTGAATCGCCCGTCAATATGGGAGTCCTGTTGCGCCCCAAACGCATATTTCAAAATGAGTCACGTTTTCAAGAAATACATAATACTCACCATGGCATATTATCGCCCATCACGGAGATTTCGATGAACTTAAATGAAACTTCTTTAAATTCTGAGCAAAGTATGGTGGAATCACAAATCGAGGCCGACCACGGTTTTGACGATGGCACAACGCCAATTAAACGTTTTCGCTCGAGTGGTCGGCCAAAATCAAAGCTATTTTCAACGGAGTCTCAACTTTATAACGAGGGTGAGTTTATTTGTAATTAGAAGATATATTACTGTAATTTCTTTATATTTTTTATAGATATATATATAGATAGATAGATAGATAGATAGATAGATAGATAGATAGATAGATAGATAGATAGATAGATAGATAGATAGATAGATAGATAGATAGATAGATAGATAATTTATCAAAACAACTAATTTTCCCTGCAGGAAATGAAACTCGTCATCATAATTGGTGTTTTTGCTCTTTTGCAATCCTACTGCAGAATTCCAAGTGAAAATCACTTCACAGCTGGTTTTTTTATAAGGTTTTATTTCAACTACTCCTAGTACTAGTATTTTTCCATATAAACTCTAACCCAATTTGTACTAGTGTCTGTTGTTCTAGTATTAGTACTAGTGGCATTAAAGCAATTATCGCTTCATTTCCTGCAGGGTTGTATGTGAATTTACCAAGTTTTTACAAATTGAAATGAATAAGACCATTAAAATTTTCTAAAGTTGCAGCTGAATTAAGTAAATCATTTGAAATGTTTTTGTTTTTTTTTTTTATCAGATTCCTTGACTTTGTTTATTCTATAAACTAGTTAGTCTATTTACTATTATATTGATTTGCCGATGTACTAATTTATGCATTAGACTATGGACTACTTACCAAAAATTTTGATTATAAAACATTCTATATGTCGCAGGAAAAAACTGCAGTATTTTTATGTTAAAAAGTAGTGAAAAATATACTTACTATCGTAATTTTTTCTTATTTATTAAATTGTAATTTTGTTAACCTCATGGTCCAAAGTTTTTTTTAACTTATAAAAGAGATCGTAGGAAACATTTAAACATAATTTTGAGTTTTTAAACTCAGTGGTATTCATGAATATCAAATTCAGCGTATTCGGACACTGATTTTAATAATCAATTTTGAATATTTTCGGATTTCTGTTAGAATTTTGTAATCCTTTAAAAAAAATAACTTAAAATTTTTTCGAATTATAATTTAGCTAATATTAATTCTTTAATTATTTCTCAAACTTAGCCCTAATCTTAAATAATGTGTATATGTTCTCTAAGGCTTCTTTATAGCTAGTTCTGAAAGTGGCAAATTCGGAAATTTAGACTTTGGACTACATAACACTACAAGCTATATATGTTATAAGAAACTGCAGTATTTTTATGTCAAAAAGTGGTGAAAATTGTACTATCGTAATTTTTTTTAAATTTAGTAAATTGTAAATTATTTATCATCATAGTCCAAAGATTATTTGAACATAATTTTGAGTTTTTAAACTCACTGATTCAAAATTCAATTATATTATTTGTTTTGAAAAAACAAACTAACATTGTAAAGCTTTAACACAATTTTATAGACTATTTTAAACTTAAAAAATTTCGAACATAATTTCGAATTTTAATTTTAACATACATATCTTAAGATAAAAAATTTATACACATTCTGAAACTAGATAAAAATCATGTTTTAGAGCAGGGGTTCCCACCGTTTATCACTTCGCGGGCTCCTTATGGAATTTATTTAATTTCGCGGACCTCCATACATATTTTGATATTGTGTTTCTTCTAGAGACCTACATAGTCCATAAATCCCCAGTTCGAATAAAAGTGTATATGAAACATCTACTAAATATTCTCGTACATTGAGAAAATTTAATATTTCAGAGAGTTTTCAATTTCATGGTTTTAAAGATTTTATCGTGAAAACTCTAATTTTCTCGTTCTTTTTATGCATAAAATATCATTTGAACTGTTTGCAAAATATGAATTAAGTATTTTACTGTGTCGTGACTATTCATCGCAAAACTCTATAGATTTTCTAATGTTAGTTTAATTGGTCGACAAAATCAAGTTAAAATTTGTGAATCACATCGGAATGGAATATTTACAGTTAAAATTAACTGGATCAACATATTGAAAACAAGTAAAGTCTCATCTCTGTGTCGGAAATGTATTATTTATTTTAGTCCTTTCAAACGATAACACTTTTGCTTACTTTTTGATAAATTTAAATCTGGGATAAGCTTATCATTTAATTGGGAAATGTGGCATAACTTCCGGGATACAAGTATCCGTTATTTAGTTGTGCAGCAGAGCATTATCAGTCTGAAATACAAACTTTTAGTTCAGTAAAAGTGGTACAATAAATCTGGGGTCTAAGCTACCGAAAAAACAAAATTCTCATGGTAACATTCCAATATTTGCAAAGTCAATTGATTACAAATATTACATAATACTTTGTTACTATGTATTATCAAAGTCCCTAAAAAAATCTGGGATGATTGAAAAAAAAAGTAATCTACAGTGCTTTTTACCAATTGAAAAATTTTGAGATATGTATTTTTATAACATAAAAGCAGGAATATTGTTTTTTCTTTAAATTTTTCGTACGTCTCCGCGAACCCCCTAGGATGTTAATACGGGGTCCGCGGACCACCATTTGGGAATCGTTTCGAGTAATGTTTAAACCTAAAAATTTTATTTGGCAAATTTTTTTATTAAAATGTCTTTTTCAGAGTTTCTTGTGTAATTTTGTAAATAATAAATTAAATTATTTAAGTATTCACACTCTTTTTCAACTTTATTTTATAAATTAAGTAACAACCAACCCCTATTTTCAAATATTCATTATATTTAATTTTAAAATTTTTAACGGCACATGTATAGTTTTAACAGGGTGCGTCTAATAGGCCAAGGGTTTTTGTCTTTGCTAAGTATATTACTAATACCAATGACTTTTAAACTTTAAACTTCTAGTTGTTTCAACAACCAAAGCAAATTTGCTGAGACTCAGCAAAACCGTTTTTATTTTATATGAACTTTGCACGCTACTGAGAGGCGGGGTATCTCAGCAAAATCGTCCGGTAAGAAATACACGTGTTTGTGTGTCGATTCGAGCAAATTTTGCTGACCTCAGCAAAAAAATTTCTAACACACTAAATGTGGTAATGCATTCTAACGCCAACAGAGTGCGCTACTGTTAAAGGTCTTTGAAAATAATTGGTATTAAAATACAATATTCAAATGTTAATAAAAAGGGTTTATTTATTTTATTACACAAGTTTACAAATTAATATTTTTTGTTTGCTCATGGATATATTTTTGGAAAGGGTTATGGCCAGTGGTAATTAACAATTTTAGTTTATTTCCTTTACGTGGAAATTTTGAGATAAAGTGGTTTTTATTTACCATCTTTCTTCAGTAGTGCTGGAAAAATATTTGAAAATGTTTTAGTAGCATTGACCCTCTTATTGTTGATTACTACTAATCGTTTTTTATGAGGTGTAATTTTATGTAGTTGCTGTTATATCTCTTTTAGTCATATGTTTTCTGCATTGTTAGTTTTTGACATGTCAGTTGATTGCTATTCTTTCAGTGTGGCTACTTTGAAGCTTTCTTGACTGTATTATAGGAGTGAGTATATGAGTTGTTTGGTAAACTGTTGTAGAGTTTTTAATGACATATAAAAGACTGATTGGAGTGTTGCACTTCGGCATATGGGTTAGACATTCAATATTATCTAATTTGGAGTTTAATTTGTGAATAGTGTGTTGGCATTGAATTGGGGTTTGAGGTTGGTTTTTTCCTGTCAATGATTTTTTCTCTCGACGATTTATTGTTTTTTTTGTGATTAATGTTGGACCCACTTTTAATATCAGTTGAGTGTTAGACCTGGTGTGGATATTTCACCTTTTCGTGTATAACTTTAACTAATAGACGCGCATGACCTATTTTATACAAAGGTTTTTGTTCTTAGTATTTTTGGCTTGTGAGGAGTACGCTACTTTCTTTTATACTTGGTTAGTTATTTCTTTACACACACACATCACTAAATATTTTTGGAACTGGTGGAGATAGTTTTTTTTACTAGGTTTTTTGCGCTAAACTATAAGCCTATAGAAATTCACTTCATTGAAAACTAAAAGTGGAATTGAATGTATTTACGTTTTGGCTATGAGGTATTTTAATATTGTAGTATATCAATTTTTACTTTTTATTTAATTTAATTTATTACTTTTATTTAAATCATAATTTTAAATATGAAAAAAATCATTTTTATGTAAACTATTCATAAGTAGAAATTTATAACCGATTATGGCCTATATAGGCTAGGTTATTGAAATAAAGAATTTGATATTGAAATTATATAAAAGAATTGATTATTGGGTGCTTGCACCTGTTTTGGGAACCTAACAATCGACTCTTCATTAACCCACTTTTAACCAGATTTCTTTCTTTTTGACCCGATTTTTAGTTATTTTTTGATACATTTTGATCAAAATGGCATCTTTTCTATCTTATCTAGATAGATGTGTCTCGGATAAGTATTCGAATTTAGGTGTTCTTTTAAAAGAAACATAATTTAATAATATTTATTGTGTGTAAAATTAATAATTAAATTTGATATATTGTCTAGAGAGTTCTAAGGTTTAATATCATACTCCTTAAAATTTGGATAAATTACATTTATTTAAATAAATTTAACTTATTTTAAAAAAAGTCCATAAAATTACTTCACAAAAGTATTCGAAATTTTTTGTATTTCATATATGACCATATTTTACGAAACACAAAAATTAGAATCGAATGGTCTTTTTGCTTAAAATTGTTTTAAGGGGTTACTATCAACCGAAAGGATATATTTTTGGCCCATTTGGCCCACAATTTTGGTGCATTTGTACCATCTTTTCATATAATATCATTAAAATGGCGATTTTTGGCAATATTTGTATTTTTTTCTCCTTTTTCCCAGAGATAAAACCAAAATTTGTTATTGGGATTTAATATACCTTTTGGGGTATCTAAAAATAATATTTTTTGTTACGAGAATCTGTATTTAAACGTTCCAAGATATATTATTGGAATCATTCTTCTATCGCTAATTCAATATATATATATATCCATTCGGTTGATAGTTACCCTTTAAAACAATTTTTAGCAGAAAACCATTCGATTCTAATTTTTGTGTTTCGTATAATATAGTCAAATATGAAATACAGAAAAAAA